TCTTCAGCTCCCTCTAGCATCTTCTGTGAGTCCATTCAGTAGATTAGCATTCTCACAGCTGTTTCACAAACAGTCATTTTTTTGAGTATTTTTATTTAGTTTTTACTTGGGTGAGGTGATCTCGACGCTTCATGTGTATATTTCAATCATTATAAAAGCAGCTTAATGCTCTGTTAATAAGGTTCTCTGCCCTCATACAGCCGTTACTAATCAGATTACAACACTATTAACATTATCATGGAAAGTAAGGCAGCCATATTGGATTATATCAATAATTATCTGAGCATCATTGAGAACGGGATGCTCTCATTTATGCTGACATGGTACGACTTCTATGAATCCAAACTCAGTTGGGCTTCACACATTTTCGTAAACCGACCTCTCGCAGCGGCTCGTTCAGCTCCTCCAGGATGCTCTCCTCGTCGAACATCTTGCCCTGATATCGGTGCTCATAATAGTCGTGGATTCTCTGCCTCATGTCAGCAGGGAGCTTGTGGAAGGACATGTACTGCTCCACTTGCTTGTACTGTGACAAAACAACAAGATTTCAACTTTTAAAACCCGTTCAGAACCGCTCCAAGAGTCCGACTCGCAACGGCAGCTTTAAAGCGACTGCTTCTCCTGCAAAGACAAAATGCAAAGTCATGTCAGAATGAATATATTAACCTGATTGATGTGCTGGCTCAGAGGTGGACTATAATGTATCTCATTATGTTAACAGTCAACTGTCAGGCCATCTGTGAAACCTGCTCGCAGTGCGGTGTTGTGGCTCTGCCCCATCTGACAATTACAGTTGTGCTCTGCAGGCTGCAGCTAATGACATTAACCAGCGTGTCCTTCAGCAGTGTACTCTACCAGCAGACCAGCGCCGACGATCACAGCACCCAGTGTACGTATGGCGCTTCCTGCCATAAGCCTCTGCTCTGAGGTTATTAAATCTGTGCCTTATCTCGTTTTATCCCTCACAGAGTCGGACATGGAGATCTAATAGCGAGTTCCCCTGGATATTCCTCATTTTTTTAAGGTTTTTGTCACCATTTCACATCAAAAAACAGTGAAGCTTCTGCTGCCCATCTATAAATATTTAAACAGACTTTAGGTGAAAAATAAGTATTTGTAACGAGGGTTAGCGAACTGTCATCAAATGAAAAACATGATTTTAACCAGACATAAAATTGTATTTGTTATGTTAATATAATACATACAGTGCCTTACAAGAACATTCACACCTCTTGAGGCTTTTTCAGATTTGGTCACATTACCTCAGTGCAACTTATTGGGATTGGTTTATTTATTGGTTTATTGGGATGATGTCAACAAATTGCATGGAGGGTTTCTGCAGGCTTCAGCAACTCAAATGTAGGATTTTTTAAAAATCATTTTGAATAAAATTTAAGATCTGTGTGAGAACAGAAATGTACAAAAGAAAATACAATATTTCATATACATATAAAATTGCACTTACATGCAAAATATGCTAAAAATACCCATAAAAGACGCAAAAAGCTATCTAGCTACCTACCAAAGCTATATTAGCAGCTTGTTAGCAGTAGCCTTAACTGTCTTGAGTTAAAAAAAAGAAATTAAAAACCTTACAAATACAAATCCAGCCAACACAAAATTTAAGACCTGTGATTAAAATATTTAACGCCTACTTACATTTCAAAAAAATTAAGGCATTAATTTTAGACAGTGAAATTTAAGACTGTTTAAGAACACAGTTTATTTTTACTATGAATTATTATTAAGGCTAGTGACATGCTTGTGTATATAATATCATAATCTGCCGGATTGGAGCATTTCTTTTTCTAAAGGTTCAGCTGCTTAAAGGTATCCTAACACAACAAAACAAATCTCACCTTTTCTTGGTACTGCCTCCTGGAGGAGTCCAGAGACTGGATCAGAGCTGTGGCGTGACCCACAAACATGGCGAAGCAGGTGGCGCCCACGATCATGCTGAGGATGGTGAGCCAGACGTCGGCCATGCCGATGGGCGGGTACAGGCCGTACCCGATGCACAGCATGTGACTCATGGCTTTGAACAGGGCATAGGAGTACTGCTGACCCCAGGTGTCGTTCTGGAGGAGAAGTGGAGGCGGAAAGAAAAACTTCATCAGTAAGAACGCTGCAGCATACTGCAGCTGCATCGTGTCTGTGGGAGCTTTGTTGGGAGTTTCAGAAAAAAGAGTCCAAGTGGTGAACATTTTATCCTGCCTGTTGGGAACCATAACTGCTTATGTTTAAGTTAGTGTTCCTAATATCATGCTAGCACTTACTTTAGCTTCTGTTCCACCAATCAATACACAGAGGATCAGAAAAGAAAAATGCCCAAGAAGAGAAAGAGTAAAAATATTTAGTCATTTAAACACTAATATTCAGTATGTTAATGAGGAGTAGAAAACCTTCAAATATGGCCTGTTAAGTCTGTAGGTGTGAAATGATTAATCGGTTTAATCGTGATTAATTGATTATCAAAATAATTAAGTAATTGATTAATCATTAACTGGAGTATACAGCCTGTAAAGAACAACATAGTCAGAGCCTTAAATCATGCAAAACTGTACAAAATATATACATTTTGCATTTAAGATATAAAACAAACCTTTATCTATAAATGCAGCTGTGGAAAAAATGAAGAGCCCACTGCATGAACCCCATTAAAAACCTCCTGCTTCTTCCATCAAATATTGTTTCTGAACTCTTCCCAAGTTAAAACATTAATATTGTTGTTTCTAACTGAATCTGAACTTCTTTTCTTTGCATTATTTAAAGTCTGAAAGCTCTGCATCTATTTTGTTATTTTGACCATTTCTCATTTTCTGCAAATAAATACAACATTTTTGCTTAGGATTTCAGAGATATGTTTCCAGTAGTTCACAGAATAAAATATTCATTTTACATATACCTATAAAAAGTAAAATCAAAGGGACTGATCATTTGAAGTGGCCTCTTACTTTTTTCCAGAGCTGTATGTTCTACCAGAACTCCTTAAGTGGCATAGCTTAGCACACACTAAAGAAATGCTGCAATTTAGGTTAAAAAATAAATAAATTCTTATTTAAATTGTTTTATTTATTTGCATGTTTATATAATATTGTATAAAAGAGGCTTAAATTAAGTCATTTTATCCAATTAATCCTCAGGATAACCTATACATTCATCAATAACTAAAATAATCATTAGTTGAAGCCCTAGTTTGAATACAACATAATGTTATTTTGGGATTTGGGATTTGGGATTCGAATCTGCCCAATAATTCCCTTACCACCATTTTGTTCCGGGTGACCCAGCAATCCGGAGGGAAGTCCTGCAGCATCGGCACCAGGAACTGCAGACAGCCGTCCCAGTGGCACAGCAGCAGCATCATGCCAATCAGGTTCATGATTCGCACCATGGCACTGGCAAGATCGTACGTCATGTGAAAGACCTACGATGAACGGGAAACAAAATGGGACAAGACGTGATGAAACGCTCACACTTTGAAAACAAACTTGAGATTTTAACTCTCTCCCCTGACATTTGGGGACCTGAGATGAAGTGCAGCATCTACTTTAGAGCAGCAGAGGGTGTTTAAGTGGCTTTAATCAGTTAGTATACAGCGTGGGTAAACACTGCCTCAAAGAAGCAGCTTAAAAATTAAAGCTGCACCAAGAAATTGGCGTATTTTTAGCATCATTTAGTCAGGATGGAAAAATCAAATCTTATTCTGAACATAGTGTGCACCAAGCTAAGAGCTACCAGGCTGTGCTGACAACATCCCTCTTCAGTGTGGCCGCTGTTACAGAGTGAAGACTTAAAGTTAGCTATTATATCAGTGAGTGGGTAGTAATGATGCAAAAAAAGACACAGAGGGGATACAAGCTGCAATTTAAAAGAAAAACCTAGATTTTTAGCAACATGTCTAGAAATTTGGACCAGGGGGCGCAAGAGGGGACCTCAGAAAGTGGGAGGGAAGATGAAGAAGAAAACTGAAAGAAAAAAATGTAATCAGACATTTTTTTTATCATAAATATTTAATTATCAACTGGTTTTGTGATGCCAACTACATTAACTGGCAACTGAACGTGTAAAAAACAGTTTAAAATGTCTTTTAGGTGATCATGTTTGTCCACATTTCAAAATGATGTAAAATCGCAGTGGAATGGAGGAGTTTCTCCGCAGGGAAAGATTCCAGAACTATGTTCCTCGGCTGGCCTGGGAACGCCTTGGGATTCCCCCAGATGAACTGACCCAGTTCGCTGGAGAGGGGGAAGTCTGGGCCTCTCTGTTTAGGCTGCTGCCTCCGGATTAAGCTAAAGGTAATGGATGGATTTTAGAATAATATAAACTATATTTTACAGCAATCGCTTTCTGACAGGGTGGACTGAGGATTCCCCTGCATTCTAACTGATAGAGAACAGACTAAAATATAATCCTTGGTTTCTTTTTGGACAGTAGCCAATCATAGTTAAACTTACTGAGTTATTTATAAATAAAATTGAATTTATTAAAAATAAAGTTCTTGGCATCCTCCAGTCCATGGCATCTACGTTTTTATTTTGTTTTTTAATTATGTAAAGCACCTTGAAATGCCTTGCTGCTGAAATGTGCTATACAAATAAAATTTGATTGATTGATTGATTGATAGAAATAACTGTAGAATCTGATCTATATTCAGATTATTTGGATCCAGCTGGCCTTTTCAGAAAAAGCTCACTCTGCTTCATTCTCCTACTACTCCCCAGTAACACATTAACTGCTATTAAGTGTATGCTCTTTTCCTGTTTGGTTTTCTCTTTATAAAGGTTACATCATGAGTGTCTGGGGTTTTCAATACCAGCCGTATTTACAAAGGCCAGATTTATTTTTCTTGAGAGAGAAAGGTTCATCCTTCCTGGTAGAGCACAGCACCAAGTGGTGGAAAGATAATCTTCTCAATGAAGCTGGAAGAAACTCCCTAAGCGTTTCCATAGGATCTCAGGATTTTAAACTGTAGAGACAGTATTATGGACAATTGTAGTGGTTTTGAAACTGTAGAGCTTTGAAAGTATGATGCTTAACATCAGTATCCAGCCCATGATTGATTGATTAAAAGAGAGTAAAAGAGGAATCTCATTAAATCAGTATCAGCTTTTCAAAGCTTTACAAAAACCAGAAGTCAGAAACCAGCTGCACTAATCTGATCTCTACAAAAACATTATCTAGAAACAGCAAGTGCTTGTATCTTTCCTGAGCTAAAGGAAAAAGTCTAACAGTTTACAGGTTATCGATTAAAGAGTTAATCTGAAGTTGCTCTATAGATTAACAATAAATTGATAAGTGGCCATTTTCTAAAAAGCTGAGTTTTGTCTTGTATAAAGAGGGACCACCATCTTTCTATATGAGCAAAGATTTTCATAATATTATGAATTTTTAAAATAACTTTTAAATTTTAACATTATTTTGTGTCAGATGTAATAAACACTGACTGGCAAGACTGAAATTTGTGGTTTTTTCACATGAGCATATTTAGACATATTTACAAAATATAGCAAAACTGTGACCTCTTATATTGCTAAATAAAAAATAAAAGATGAAAATAAGGTGTAAAACAGGTTTGTACAGAATTACTGTCTGTGATTGAAGGTATGTTAAAAAATTTTAAAAAATTAAATGACAGACCTCAAAATCAACAGTAGTTGCTGGCATCATATTTTTTCATCATGTTGCAGTTTTTGTTTTTTTTTTTGGGGGGGGGGGGGGGGGTTTTTTTTTTGTTTCCCCCCCCCAACACCGGAAAACCGGCGGGCGCACCCCCCTT